GGGGCTCTATTTTCGTGTACGCCGGTGAGGCGGCGGAGGGTGGCGGAGCCCACGCAGTTGTATTTTCATCTGGCGGAGCCCGGCGTACAGCCAGTTTGGTATTTTCGTGGACTGAGGCGCACGGAGCAAACCAAGATCCGCCAAGCTGGGCGTGGTGGCGTGGCAGGGGGAGGTGTCGACAGAATCAGCGGGCGCAGTGACATTTTCGTGCTCGCCAGTGGCATGTAAAGTGCGCTGAAAGCTCCCCGATTCAAACCTGGTCAGTTTTCAGCGCAGGCGGAGCGCAGCTGGTCTAGTGGTATTTTGGTAGACCGGCGGCGTATCTGCATACATCACCGATGCCTCACAGGCAGGTTTCCACAGTGTCAGGCACATTTCAGTGCAATAAATAATCAACAACAACTATTAATCTGAGTTAGCACATACATTTAGATCTATATAGATATATTCTGATCTATATCTGATCTGATGAGCGCGTTTGGCACACGTTTGGACACACAACCTGACCAAATCAACACAGCTAAAACCGCATTAAATTAAATATCTAGTAAATAGATATATAGATATATTCTGATCTATATCTGATCTGATGAGCGCGTTTGGCACACGTTTGGACACACAACCTGACCAAATCAACACAGCTAAAACCGCATTAAATTAAATATCTAGTAAATAGATATATAGATATATTCTGATCTATATCTGATCTGATGAGCGCCTTTGGCACGCATTTGGACACACAACCTAACCGAATCAACACAGCTGAAACTGCATTAAATCAAATATCTAGTAAATAAACACACATGATGAAGTTAACAAGCTATTTAATTTGTCTCCCTCCTTTTCTTTCTTTCTCTTCCTCTTATTTCTCGCGCAGCTCGACCTGGACATGTCTCGTGTCCTCTCCCTGTCCTGCTGCTGCTGCAGCGGCTGAACAGATGATTTGTTTCAGTGCTCAGATGAGTTATTTACTTTAAGCCGACATACGAATATTATAATATTCAGTTTTGTGAGCCAAATTTATTTTATATGCCATCATCTATGAAAGAAAGTGCCAGGCCACGGAGCGCGATGCAACATTTACGCACAGATGGTTCCGATTTTAATGCCATTTTTGGAGTTTATGTTGTGATCTGTGCACACAACCCACCTTTCTCACGTGAGGTTTGAATATATGCAACTTTATGCGATTGTCTTTATTTGTGGAAAAGGGTGTTTGTCTTACCAGTGGGTCCAACATAACACACACCAAATCCATCTGTGCTCATATGAGAGAGTGTGGAGGACGCCCAATGCAGCGCTTACAGTGACACTTGTTGAGGATCTGCCTTCTGTCGCCATCATGTGGCATTACTGTCTTCAGACATCTCTTGATCTCTTTGACTACTTCACTAAAATTGGAATTCGCCTCGCCAGTGACGGATTTAAAGGCAAGGAGAGCAGCTTATGTGATCAGTGAAAACAGGTCTCGGCTGTGTTAAACCCACTCCACGCCCTCTCTGCTCCCTTGCTACGACTTACGCCGCTGGGAGGAGCTGAGTTAGGGAGGGGTGATACTTAAGCCAGGCTGCGCCGCTCACAAAAATACCAAATTGTGCTTGGGAACGCCTTGTCAGCGCAGCGGACCTGACTTACGCCACACCTGCACCTGCACGTTTCCGGCGAGGCACGAAAATAGAGCCCCAGGATTTTAACAATGCCTCTGTACTAACTCTGGTTTCTTGTCTGGAGAACTGCACAGACTTGGCTTTGATGGAATTAAATTAACAAAAGGACAACACAATAAAGGATGATTTTGGAACAGCTTGTCTCCGTCTGGAGTCAGAACCATCTGAAGCCAAGCCTGCTTAGACTATGAGACTCAGAGCTGAGCTGCAAGGAAACCAAGCTAATAAGAAGAAACAGGAAAAACTGATTAAAACAACCTTGAGAGTGTTCTTTTCTCCATGACCCAAGTGAATTGACAGCCTTTTCTGATGACAGGAAAACAGAGAACCACCTCACTTGAAATCAGTGGTAGACAGTAATAAAGTAATTTTATAAAGCACATTTCTTCAGCAACTGTATTTGTGTCTTATTTATGGGAAAATGTATCAGCTTTACTCCAGAATACCCAATTGTAAAAAATATTTTCATTACTCACCACTTGTACCCTGATCAGCTTGTGAATTCCCTTTTCTGAAATCCATTTCATTTAATTGTGTAAGATAGTTCTGAGTGTAGTTTGTTAAGGTGGTGTCCCTATTCCTGTATGTCCTGTCCATGGTTGGATGTAGAGAAAATGCTATAGAAAAAACAAAAGCACTATTTTCCCTTGAGTTTGTGTGCTTGAAACAGAGTTGTACTAGGGAAAAGTAATGTGCTGCTAACAGCTAAATATGGGTTTGTACAGCTGTTTTAGTGTGGAAAATAGCATCTGCACACCGCACTGCTCCAAACAGCCATCCTTTGGCCTGGCCACACTTCTATGTCATGCTACACAGATGCACTTGACATTTAGGGCTAAAAAAAAATTTTTTACTTTTGCGCCCTGAACTGACTCTTTCCCACAAACCCCGTGCAGAGAGAGTTGCTTATTTTCATGATTTTGACAACTTATTTTAATTAATTGGGTTTTTTTATCATTCACATTTGGCTGTGTGGTCAAAAACCATTTTTTCTATTGAGGCTATTTTTAATGTTTTCTCATTGGGGGCATATCTGTCAAAAAAGTCTTGCTCATCACTTTCTTGAGATCTTCTCTCTTTCTTCTGTTTACCAGAAACAAGAGCCCTAAAGACATCAGGTTGGGAACTACAGTTCCAGGTTGTTCAAAGAGCAAAGGAAAGATCAAATCAGAGTTTACAAAGACACCCTTTGATCCTGACTTGCCTTTCATCCAGGACTTAAAGGTCCAGGTTGATGGACATGTAACATCATTCCAAACAGTGTATACCTCAGACATAAACTGATTAAACTCCTACCCTCTGGTGATTCAGATAAAAACATCTACTCTGTTTGGGAAATTATTTTATTTTAAATCATTCACCTCCTATCCAGTCCCTATTATCACAGGTGTGCCCATGGTGCCCCCCCCCCCCCCCGGTCACATCTTCTGCAAACATCATATTCATTCATTCATATTCAACCCTACACCGATGACACCCAGCTTTACCTCCTTACCAAACCCGACTCCTCAATTCAAATAAAACAGAAATAAGACTGCTCTCCTTTTAATTGGCTCAAAATCTACATTAAAGAAACTCCATATCTTATCTATCCTCATCGATAACTCATCCATTTCCACATCCCTTCAGGTTAAGAGTCTGTGCGTCATCAAGGCACATCATATCTAAAGGTAGCAGTGGTTGCTTGGTGAACTGCATGCATACAACTGGCTGGTTCTGCATCTACAGGGGGGTTTATTTACTTCAGCAGATGTTCTGTGCGATCGGAGTTAATGCACTTTCTGACAGGCCCTGACTGAAGAAAACAAACACATGTTCTTTATTCTGAGAAATAAACAGCCTCCTGTGCCTGATGGCATCAAACAAGCTTGGGAACATCTCAGTGAAAGCTATCAGGGGCATATTCAAACTGTATACTGAGCTCCTAAAACATCATGATAGAAAACTAGTAGAAATATTATTTAATATTACCATCCAGGACAAGTGTTCCTAGTGTCTCTGTCCCTGTGTCCACACATATTACACATCAAGGTTAAACGCTACGCCTCTCCCCTCCATCCTTTTTCAGTCTATCCCTCGGTGCTCAGGCGGAACATCTTCAATCACCCCCTCCAGGATTACATCATCAATAAGACATTAGCATCTTTATGTTTCATCTCGCCCTTCATCTGACTCCTTCTATTCTCTCTCTCTCTCTCTCTCTCTCTCTCTCTTACACACACACACACCCACATTTTGATGTAAGCTCCTTAGAGGTCTGCTGTTAAGACACATTGAATAAATAAGCAGAGAGCATAATTTCTAACCCTCCTTATTTCCATGCAAATGTGGTGTGAAGGATCATCCTCATATACTGGTATGTTCCAGGTCCAGATGGCATCAGCTCCAGGCTTCTCAGATCCCGGACGGAGCACTTTTACATCATAAGCCTGAAGCTGGGGAGGGTGCCACAGGAAGACCTGGAAGACCTCCTGCATGGTACTGGTGCCAAAGATCCCCTACCCCAAGGACTTCAACCTCTACAGGCTGGTGGCATTGCATCTGCTGAAGACGCTGGAGAGGTTGGTCTTGTGTCATCTGAACCCCCCAGTGAGCTCATTAATGGATCTGCTGCTTCTGAGGGATGGCTGCTGGATTATCTGACCAACTGGCCACACTTTGTGAGGGCTTGTGTCTGTGCGTCTTACACTGTCATTTGCAGTACAGTGGACCACCAGGGGGCAGTTTTGGCTCCCTCCCTTTTACAGAAAACGTAAAATAGCCAATAGTGACAAGAGGGGGTGCAGAGAACTGAACCGGAATGTCAGCAGAACTTCCTCCAGATCAACACTAGAAAAACCAAGAAGAGGTGGTAGATTTCTGCAGATGCAGACCCACCCCTTCTGGTGAACATTTGTGGGAAGGACATTGAGGTTGTGGAATCTTACAAGTACCTGGATGTTCCCCTGAACAATACACTGGACTGACAACACTAACTCACGCTACCAAAGTGGACTCCACTTCCTGAGGAAACTGAGGTTGGGGTGCAGTCCTAAGGTCCATTTAGGACTCTGTAGTGGCCTCAGCCATCTTCTAAGAAGTGGTCTGCTGGAGCAGTAGCATCACAGCTGCAGGACCAGACTGAACAAACTGGGCACTGAGCAGCTCCTTCAGTGACAGGCTTCTTCATCCGCAGTGTGATAGATATTACAAGTCCTTCCTTCCTGCTGCAGTCAGACTGTTTATCCAGACCTGCTCCCGGTAGTCCAGGTTTCTTTTAGCACAACTGTCAGCGAATAACTCAATGCTAACTCAATGCTACCTTGAAAATGCTACATTGCGTTTCCTAGCAACATGGGTCCGAAAAAGACACTGACGGCAGAGGAGGGTGACGACATTAAGAACTCTCTGGACTTCTTGTCTGAGGAGATTTCAATTGTGAAATTACAGCAGAAATCTATCCTGGACCTGGTGGAGGAGGTGAAGGCTCTCCGGACCCAGAACGCCAAAAAGGACCAGCGTCTGGTGCACCTGGAAAGACAGTGGCGGAGCTGGAGAAGTACACCAGGGCCAATGATGTGATTGTGACCGGGCTCTGTAACAAACCCTGGCCATACCCCAGCGTGGGGACCAGTGACCATGGGGGGGAGCCTGGTGAGCAGGTGGCTGCCTTCCTACAATCAAAAGGAATTGAAATGGACTGGAACAACATTGAAGCATGCCACCCTCTGCCCTGAAGAGTAGACAGTGACAAACGAACAGTAATCATGAGATTTGTCAACAGAAAACACAAAACCGCACTGTTAAAACAGGGAAGGAAATTGAAGGGATCACACATATTCATGAATGAGCATCTGACCAAACCAAACGCTGACATCACCAGAAAAGCATGCATCATGAAAAAACAAAGAAAAATTCAGTACACATGGACATCAAACTGTAAAGTATTCATTAAATTGAACGGGACACCAGAACAAGCCAAAGTTCTGATCATCAGGCACATCAAGGAACTGGACAAATGAAAGTACAAATGATCATCACAATCTGGACTGTAAGGTATGATGTCTCATACACAATACACCACCATGACACAATCTAAAAGATCTCATCCATCGACAACTGGAGACAATAGGGATATACCTCAATGGATTGCTGATCATGAAGAACTAGAACTGAGAACATTTCAATTCACTGACCGTTATCTACTGGATTTGGAGCATGATATAGACCCAGACAATAACTTCTTAACAGAACATGAACAACAATTGCTGCTATTACACAGAAGAACACTACAACCAGACCATCAAAATGGACAATAAATTGTCAATAATCCATTTCAATAGCAGAACTCTGTATGCAAACTTCAATAACAAAAAGGAATATTTAAGTCGATTTAAAAAACCATTCAAAATAATTGCAATATCAGAGACTTTGATCAAGGCAGCCAAAGGGATGAATTTTGAACTGGATGGATATGAATTTAACTGGGTTAGCAGAAAGCACAAGATTGATAACTGTGATTGATAACTTATTAAAATATATAACAATTGAAATATGTGAGGAAAAAAAGAAAAATGTAATAATCGGCTGTATATACAGAGCACCAGGCTCTAGTATTGAAGAATTCAAGGATTGGATAGGGAAAATGTTATCAAAAACTAATCAAAAGGTGGTTTTAATCTGTGGTGACTTGTATATTGATCTGCTCAATCCAAATAAACATTAAATGACAGACAAATTTATCAACACAATGTACAGCATGAAACTATATCCAAAAATCACCAGACCTAGTAGAATCACATCCCACTATGCTACTTTAATCGATGATATATTTACTAATGACATTAAAAATAATGCAATGAGTGGACTATTAATCAATGACATCAGTGACCACCTGCCAGTTTTTACAGTTTATAACAGCAACTACCAGAGAAATCATCCAGAGGAAAAAACGAAATAAAGACGAGTGAGGACAGAGGAAACAATGAAGGATGATCTACTGGCACTAAATTGGGAAAAGGTATATAATGAAAGTGATGTTGATTGTGCATATGAAAACTTTTTAAGAATATTCACATCATTATATGATTAAAAATTGTCCAATAAAACAATACAACAGGAAGCAAAAATATAAAGATTCTCCCTGGTATAAAGGATTACAAAATGCCTGTAAAAAGAAAAACACATTACAAAGAGAATTTATACAAAGAAGGACTAAAGGGGCAGAAAATAAATATAAAAAATATAAAAATAAATTAACCAATATTATAATGTTATGTAGGAAGGAAGGCCCCCGCCTTGGTCTGCTGCCCAATCTGTCTAGCACCGGACCCTTCAAGTTCCTCCTGTGGGTGGTGGGTCCACAGGAAAGGGTGCCCATGTGGCTCATTCGGGCTGAGCCCGCCCGGGCCCCATGGGTGCAGGCCCGACCACCAGGCGCTTGCCAGCGAGCCCCAACCCCGGGCCTGGCTCTAGGGTGGGGCCCCGGTGTCCCTCCGGCCGTAAGTCGGACTCGTTTCCAGTAAGGGTTGGACTCCGCCAGGGCTGCCCTTTGTCACCGGTTCTGTTCATAACCTTAATGGACAGAATTTCTAGGCGCAGCCGGGAGGTGGAGGGTGTCCAGTTTGGCAGGCAGCGGATCGCGTCGCTGCTTTTTGCGGATGATGTGGTGCTTCTAGCTTCGTCGAGCAGTGACCTTCAGCTCTTGTTGGGGCGGTTCGCAGCCGAATGTGAAGCGACTGGGATGTGGAGGGATTACATCTCTCGCCTGGCCTGGGAGCGCCTGGGAATCTCTCCGGAGGACCTGGTGGAAGTGGGATCTACATGAACTGCTGTGGAGGATCAGTACTCAAATGTGCAGACTGAAAAAATGTGGTTTGACAGAAACAAATTATCATTAAATTTAGGTAAAAACCAAATTAATGCTATTTGGCACTCATAATAGAAATACACAAGTACAGATACAAGTAGACATGGTGAAGTGAAAGAGTATATGAAAACAAGTTTCTTGGGGTGATAATCGATGATAAAATTGACTGGAAGTCTCATATAAAACATGTACAAAGTAAACTGTTAAGAAGCATTTCAGTCCTGAGCAAAACAAAATACATTCTGGACCACAAACTTCACTACATATTCCCTACTGTTCACAGATTTTACCATATTTACACTACTGTGCAGAGGTTTGGGGAAATACTTTCAAATGTACAATACAATCACTATCTGTACTACAGAAAAGAGCCATAAGAATAATTCATGATACCGCTTATAGAGGTCACACAAATTCAATATTCTTAAAATCAAAAGCACTAAAATTCACTGACCTGGTTCACTTTCAAACAGCACACATCATATACAAAGCAATAAACAATGTACTGCCTGGAAACATAAAAAAAAAAAAGACATCAGCAGGTATGTACAACATTAAAAAGTTTTTGTGTTTCTGTTTGTGGAGTTACGTTGTGGAACAGATTAGGTATGGAGCTCAAGCAATGTCCAAACATGACCCAGTTTAAAAAGCAGTACAAAAACATGGTTCTCAACAGGTACAGGGAGGAAGAAGGGCATTAATTGTTGGGTGTTTTCTCAAATGATTAATGTACTTATTTATTCTATTTTTGCTGCATTTTTTTTAAATTTTGTTAATATAATTTAATTTTGCTGGAGATTGACTGTTATTACTGAGTAAAGGAGAAGGTTTAGGTTTTTTAAAAAGCATAATGCTTCAACCTACTCCTTTTCGGACATGTTGGGTTTGCATTATCATTATTAGTTTTTTTTTTATCTTTATTTTTTATTGTTATTATTTTATTTTACTTTGTTGTTACTGTTCTGATTGTTTTGACTGTTCTCACTCGTTATGTTTGTTTTCACTTTCAAGTATAATAATTATAATCATTCAAATGATGCGCTTGAACCAAGAGGTTGCTGCAAGTCTTGTCTCTCCATATTATCTGTAATTTTTGCTAGATTTTTTTCATATGTTTGTTGGCTGCTGATGGATACTAATGCTGGGCGAAGAGTTTACTCAAGAGAAGAGCTCCTTTCATTGAGTAAAAGCAAATCTGGAGAACAGCATACAATTCTAGAACACATCAGGAGGTGTTATCGTGGTTGCCATGCTGGTGCAAAGGTGAAGGCAAAGCTGAATGCTAGGAGGTGGCGATATAAACCCTTTCTTCCATCAATCATCATGGGAAACGTCAAGTCTCTGCCCAACAAAAGCGATGAGCTGGAGATATTAGTGAAGACTGAGAAAGCAGAGGTGCGTCTCAGTCTTCTGGATCAAGGAATTTTTTGAAGGATTCTTTATCAATGTGAGAGGGCAAATTTTGGAATTTTTGCATTTAACTCTATAAAAATGGCCAGAGTCTTTAGTAAAAAAAATACACAAAAGGATCTCAATGAGTTTTACGAGGTGTCAAAGTTTGATCCTGATCCAGACAAAATTCCGGTTACTGTGATCCAGAACACACAAAAATAAGGGTATCGTTGGAATTTTCAATGGTGAAAGATAACCACTGAAGATACAAGGAAGTGTACGCTTACAAATATTGCATAATAAATCATGCATTTATGTATCTAATATGAGCTTTGTTGTTTTAGGAACATTATGAACAGTGAACATACCAGTTTAAACACAATGTGTGGTGTGAATCACAATATAAGGGGGGACATGAGATGCTTGGTCCCAGACCATATGCATGAGAGTCCCTGGCTTATTCTGTGAACATAAAGTACATACTGAGCAATCCAGGACCTTCATATGGTGGAGCTTGCAGGTTCTAAGATAAGTTCTGTGCACAAATTGATAATGAATAAGTTGGTGATCTGGGTTCCTGGAAAATGAAATAATGTTAGTCCATACATCATTCCAGTCAAAATTTGGATCCCAGTCTGATATGTCCCTACCCCATATTGCATCTAAACTTATAGGCTTGTATGATTTCTTTAAAATATACTGATATATAGCAGAGACCACACTACTTGTTTTTAATTTATCTATGAACTCAGTCAAGCGATGTTCCAATAACTTGGCATCACTTTGTAATCCTTGTGCCTTCAGTGTGGCTCTGATCTGTAAGTAAAAAAAAGGGTGTGCTCTGTAAATTAAAACTAGATTTAATGTGTTGAAATGTGTGCAGGCCATTTCCATCATAGATCTCACTAAGGAAATGTATCCCTCAATCTCTGCATTGTGGGAATTAAATGGGTTTACCCCCAATTTGTAAATTGAAATTATTAAAGATCAGGGTGTTTAAATGCCATTGCCTTGTAATATTACATAGCTTTTCCACACAATGCCAAGTTGAGATCAAGTGAAATATAATTGGGCCAAATTTTAACTTGCATATTTTGGTTGGTACGTTAGATAAAAGGACTTCTCTGAGAGACCAAGGATGCACTATATTTTCTTCTAATGGGTGCCATGAGATATTGGCTGTGGGATTAAACCAAGCGGTGAGAAAGCGAAGGGTAAAAGCCCAAGAGTAAAACTTAAAATTGGGCAAAGACAACCCTCTGTCCCGTCTGTTTCGCTGAACAGTTGTAGTTTTCAGACAAGGTCTCTTGCCCCTCCAAAT